AACATAAAAAAAAAAAAAAAATGAGCTCACACAGGCCAGTGTTTCTGAATTCTGTGAGATTAAGCACCCCTTTTATATAGCAGGTATTTTGATATCTACCATTAACTATCTTGGCATGATATCCTTTAGCTAATATAACCTATTTCATAATAAAAATCACTACAGTGCTCAAGTTGTAATATAACAGGAAAAAAAATTTTGTTATTATTTCTCTATGGAAGTACTTATTCATTACCATAGTAGAAAACATGAAGTCATCAGATTGAGTCAGTGAATATTTATTGAGCTTTTGTATATATCAGACACTGTACTGGACACTGGGGATATAGCAGTGAATGAAGTGAAAATTTCATCAGATTTCACATTTTAGTGGGAGGAGGGAGTTCATAAAGAAGATAATTAGGTAAAAGATATGGTATGCTAGATGGTAAGAAGTACCCCATGTAGAGAAAATAAAGCTGGGACATGAGTTAGAGAATGCCTTACCTGTGTGTAAAATCACATGCATATGATTATTGTTTACACACTGACAGTTGTGTAGTTTTAACATCTCAGATAGAATTTAATTGCCATTAGTTATCTGATTTTCCAAAATACTCATGGGAAAACAGAGTTGCTTCTTGATTTACATAATGCTTATAGTTCTTGGCAATTATGTAATATTGAAACCCCATCATAATACTTTTATCTGTGAAACTGAGTGTGGTTCTAGGTAGGTTTTTTACCCATGTGACTATCTGGTGGGACATTTAGTCTTCATTGTGGGAATTCTCTTGCAGTGAAGGACACCTAGCCTCTCTGGTCCTTCCTCTCTAAGTGCTACTATTTTTTTACCCCAAAAACACTGCAGAAATTTCTTAATTTTTTAATCACCTTAGGAAGTGGTTCTGTCATTTTTGCAAATCTTTGGCTTGGTGGGGGGAGAGAAGCAGGGTGGATCCTTGAGAAATCTTGATATTAAGAGGTCTATTAAAGGAGGAGAAGTAGGAAGGAAAGGAGAACTAGGAAAGAACTAGGAAGGAAACTGAGATTGAAAGCCAGTAGGTGGGAGAAAAATGTGGAAAGTAATGTCTTAGAAAGCAAGAGAGGAAGTTTCTAGAAAGAGGAAGCCCTCAATTGTCAGATATCATTGAGAGGTCAAGTAAAAAGACAGATAAATCACTGATTGGATAATATGGGGGTTGCTGATCTTGATAAGAGATGTGATAAGAATAGAAGCCTATACTGTAGTGAGTTAAAGATAATTAAAAGTACATGGGAAGTGAGGAAGCAGAAACAGCATGAATAGGCATCTGTTTCCAGAAATCCAGCTATGAAGGGGAGAGGAAAAATAGTGTGGTGTTTGACAAGTATGTGGCTTTTGGTACTTAAAAAAAAATAAACAATAGAACACATTTGTGTGCTAATAGGAATAATCCAGCAGGAAGGAAAATAATTAATGCAGGAAAAAGGGGATAATGAAGGATTACAGTGTAATGAAAGGATACATTGTTTCATGTAGACAGCAAGTAATATAAACTCATAGGAGAGGGAAGTAATGAAACCTAGACTAGTCATGAGAAATCTTTATGTTGGAGGGTGGTAACATCTCCATAGACAGAGAGAAACGTTTCTCAAGTGAATAGGACAAAGCGAAAGGAAGGATAGAGCATGTGTAGTTGGAGGGAGGGTTCTTGTTGAGTAGAAGTGGGAAATAAATCTGACTAGATAAAGGGAATACAGATTAAAAACAGAGTAGTCTGAAAATTAGAGGGAAAAGTCTATACAGTTGAAGCTCTTTTAATCAGTTTGTACTAACTCACTCATGTCAGTCCCCAGTATTCTGCATTCCTTCTGTAAAGCATATTCTTAAACACCCCTATGGGTTATATTATTTGCCAGTGTGCCTGGAATCTTCCTTCAGTTGGCTGATCTACTTTACCAAGATTCAGTTGTGTTTATTCCCAAATCTGCTTAAGTCACCTGTATTTGTTATGGTAATTTATTTAAACCTTATATACATCAGTAAGATGAGTGTAAAAATGAAATGAATAATGCTATGTAAAGACTTATGAAAAGTCATCAAATATTGTTCTTGAATTGAATGGAGAAAAGATTGTAAAAAATATAGGATTCTTTGTTCATTTTTTTTTAACAAGAGATTTTAAATTTTGCCATCACAAACAGAAACTGGAAATCACAGCTATTACATTATGAATGCAGTTTATGCAAAAAAAAAAAAGAATGATGCTGCAGAACTCTAAACAGTGGACCCTTACTCAAGGACCCTTACATCAAAAGACAGAGTGATTTAGCTTGTTTATATATTTTATCTTAAAATGTTTATAGTTTGTCTTATTTTTAATGATTCTCTGATTTAACCATGTTATTTGATTAACTGATTAAGTATTGGTCCTGGTTGCATTGGGTGAGATTCAATGATGAGAAGAGTTTAGGGAGCCAGTGAAGACCAGGTAATACTTAGAGATGATTATTCTTGCAGGAATCCCTACAGTGAATAAGATGGGGTTCTATACAAGGGAAGTATTAATGGAAATATATCTCAATATTAATGTGCATGTTACAAACTGTTGTGTTTCTCAGGACACTTTGAGGAAATAGGGAGATAAAAAGAAAGTAGTATTTAGTGAGTATTTTCTAGGTACCGGACATTTTGCAAGGTCTCTATGTGTATTATCTTATATAATGCTCACTACAACCCTGCTTTTCAGGAGGAAGCAGATTTAAATAACAGGTTAAATAACTTTCTCAAGATAATTTAGCTAATGAGTGGGGAGAGAGAATGTTTTACTTTATTGGAGGAATTGTAGTTAAAATCCCTGATGTACTTTTAACAAAGTTGTAAGGCATTCATTTAATTGCTGAGTAATAAAATCTCCTTTGAATTAAATAAGACCAAATGAACCATAATTTCCCTTTACTAGAAGGGAAATCATCACAGTGTTGGTAAAATACATGCTCTTTCCTTTTTTGTAAAATCCTGTTTTTTTGGTTAATTGCAGTTTGAACATATCAGATCTTTACTATATCTAGAGTGGACAGTTGACCCCCCCCCAAAAAAATAAAAGAATTATAGCATAACTGCTATAGTGGGAATTTATAACTTAAATGATGTGCTACTTTTGGCAATTGAGCCCAAACCCTTGAGTATATTTAGATTTTATAATTTCTAACAACATATATTATAAATCCTAATAACATATAAACTGTTCATATAAAGAGCAGTTTTAGAGAAATTAAATAATAAGTATTTAATCATGACTTGACTATTGAAATATAATGGAAATTAAATCAGTAACTTAAGCAAGAACTTCTTTTCCCTGTTTTTTTCCCTCATTAAGTTTCACTTCTTTAAAACTGTGATTTAAAAAGATGATACAAATAATACATTGGCTATTGTTTTTTCAGTTATTGTGTCATTGAGATCTTCCCCATGACAGTACATATAATTGACTCTGTTCTTTACTAGGGCTGCATGTGACTTATTCAATCACTTTCGTATTGAGTGACTATTTAGATTTTTGTATTTTGGATGCAGGAGGGCTTATTTTCGTGAAAGTACTTCTCTAGGTGAAATTTCTGGAAGTGGATCCAGAATTCTGTAATTGGAATAAAAATAAAGTTATTGCTATTTGAATTTTAATTTTTGACATTTTTGCATCTTAAAATAATGCATTTAAAATATGTAATATATATGCGTGGTTCAAAATTCATAAGATACACCATGAGTCAGATTCCCTCTCACTGCCCTTTCTTTAACCAGTCTCTTCTGCTTACTGTTTCTTGTATATCCTTCTATAAAAAAATCTGTTCATATATAGGCCTATACCTATTATATGTATTCCGACATTTTAAATTTCTTTCTTCCCAAAGAATGTCATATACACAGTTCTGCAAGAAAGACATCTTGGAAGTTGTTCCTCATCAGCAAATGGAGAGATGCTTCATTCTATTTAGTACTGCTTTGTATTGCTTTACCATAGTTAATTTAACAAGTTCCGACTTGATGAATATTTAGTTTGTTTCCATTCTTTTGCTACTATGATGCTGCTTGTATATGTCCTTCATTGTTCACCTCTGTGTGATAAATTCCAAGAATTAGAATTGCTAGCTTATAAAGGGTGTAGGCATGTAAAATTTTGACAGATGTTGTCAAATTGCTCTCTGTAGAGACTTATAATTTATACCTTCATCAACAAAGCATAACAGTGCCTCACCAACACTGTTTCAAACTTCTTGTCCTTTGCAAACCTGATTAGTAAAAAATGTTTTTGTTGTTGGGTTTTTTTTTTTTGAGTCATAATCTCACTCTGTTACCCAGGCTAGAGTGCAATGGGACCCTCATGACTACTATGGCCTCAACCTGCTGGACTCAGGTGATCCTTCCACCTCAGCCTTCCAAGTAGCTGGAACCACAGGTGCACACCACCACACCCAGCCAATTTTTGATTGATTGTAGAAATAAGGTCTTGCCAAATTGCCCAGGCTGTTCTTGAACCCCTGGGCTCAGGCATTCTCTTGCCTTCATTTCCCAAAGTGTTGGGATTATGGGTGTGAGCTACCACACCAGCCAAAAATATTGTATTAGTTTGCATTTCTCTAGAATGAGTGAGGATAATCATCTTTTGATGTTAAAGACATCTGTATTTCCATTTCTGTGACTTGTTTATGTCCTTTGCCCTTTTTTGCCATTGGGTTATTGACCTTATTGGTTTGTTGGAACACTTTAGACATTGGGGAAATTAGCTCTTAGTGATGTGTGGAGCTGCTCAGACAGAGCAATGGGTAATTCCTTGTTCCAGTTGTATTCTCAGGCTTACCTGGAGCACATCTGTACCTTCTTCCCTTTGTCTCAGGTGATGATAGTCTTCTTATCCCCCCATGGTTAATCCTTTTCCCATTGCTTGACTGACATTAAAATATACTTTTATTCACAGTTTTTATATTTATATTTGAGTCATTTCTTATCTGTTTTTAGGTAAAATTTGGTAATACCACATTTAAAACAGATGTGTACCTCAAGTCACTCAACCCTCAGTGGAACTCAGAATGGTTTAAATTTGAGGTAAGTTTTCAAATGTCAGCATTTTTTATTTATTTTTGTTTTTGAGATGACCATTGTCCCCCAGAGATGATAAGAATACCTTTTATTTCAAGTATAGTAGTTTTTCTACACTGTAAAAGTATTTCCTTTTTTGCTTAGCTAGGAATATGGAATTTTAAAAAAAGTATGATACAGTTAAGAAAACAGAATATCTAAAAGAAAAAAATGGGAGTCCTTAAATGTATCGTTATTATTGCAGTTTTTTTTTTTTATCTTAGCATATAGCAGAAATTATGTAAGACCAATGTACGGATTTTAAAACATTTTTGAATTGTGACAAAATATATAGATCATAAATATTGCCATTTTAATCATTTTTAAGTGTACAATTTGGCAACATTAATTACATTCACAGTATTGTGTGACCATCACAACTATTTCCAAAACTTTTTCATTACCCTAAACAGAAACTAAACTTAGTGTACCCACTAAGCAATTTAACTTCCTATTGCTTTTTCTCCTTAGACTCTGGTAACCTCTTTTCTATTTCTTTCTTTTTGAGTTTGCTTATGCTAGATGTTTCATATTAATGGAATCATACAGTATTTGTTACTTTGTATCTGACTTCTTCCACTTAGCATAATGTTTTCAAGGTTCATGTATGTTGTAATATAGCAGAATTTCACTCCTTTTTATGGCTGAATAATATCTTATTGTATGTATATATCACATTTTGTTTATTTTTTAATTGTGTTATTTTTTGTTGTTGAGTTGTAAAAAGTTATTTATATTTTCAGGGTATTAACTCCTTATCAGATATATAATTTGCAGAAATTTTCTCTCAGTGGAGTGGGTTGTCTTTTTAGGTTTTTTTTTGAGTTGGAGTCTTGCTCTGTCGCCCAGACTGGAGTGCAGTGGCCACTCCCGGCCACTGCAGCCTCAATCTGCTGGCTCCGGCAATCCTTCCACCTTAGCCTTCCGAGTAGCTGGAATTACAGGCATGCGCTACCTCGCCTGGCTGATTTTTTGATTTATTGTAGAGATGAGGTCTCGCCAAGTTGCCCAGGTGGGTCTCAAACCCGCGGGCTCAGGCAATCCACTCACCTCAGCCTCCCAAAGGCGCGGGATTACAGGCTGAGCCACCGAGCCCGGCTTGTTTATTTTTTAATTGTGTTATTTTTTGTTGTTGAGTTGTAAAAAGTTATTTATATTTTCAGGGTATTAACTCCTTATCAGATATATAATTTGCAGAAATTTTCTCTCAGTGGAGTGGGTTGTCTTTTTAGGTTTTTTTTTGAGTTGGAGTCTTGCTCTGTCGCCCAGACTGGAGTGCAGTGGCCACTCCCGGCCACTGCAGCCTCAATCTGCTGGCTCCGGCAATCCTTCCACCTTAGCCTTCCGAGTAGCTGGAATTACAGGCATGCGCTACCTCGCCTGGCTGATTTTTTGATTTATTGTAGAGATGAGGTCTCGCCAAGTTGCCCAGGTGGGTCTCGAACCACAGGCTCAGGCAGTCCACTCACCTCAGCCTCCCAAAGCGCAGGATTACAGGGTGAGCCACCGAGCCCAGCTTAGTTTCTTGATAATTATTTTTGAAGCACACAAATTTTTAATTTTGATGAAGTCCAGTATATTTGTTTTTAATTTGATGGCAAAGAATCCATTGCCAAATCCAAGGTCATGAAGATTTACCCCTATGTTTTCTTCTAAGAGTTTTATGGTTTTAGCTTTTATATACAGGCCATTAATTGATTTTGAGTTAGTTTTTGTAATGGTGTGAGGTAAAAAACCAACTTCATTCTTTTGCATGTAGAAATCCAAATGTTGAGTGCATTTGTTGAAGAGACTCTTCTTTCCCTATTGAATGACAGTGTGCACAGAGACAGGAAGTGGTTACATCTAAATGGGTTATATCTCAGGGAACTGAGGGGACATCTCCAAGAGTGGAGTCTCCTGTCTTTTCACTCAGGTCCCTCTTCCCACCTGTACTTTCCCACACTGCTTCCTTTGAGGTGTTTGAGCCTAGAGGACTACCCTCATCTCTTCTCCCTATGTGCTCTCCTTAGGAAATCTGTTGTGTTGCTGTTAGGAAGTGTGTTTCATGTTATGCCTAGCTACTTCCTTGCAGTTTCTGTTCTCTTTCTCAGCACATCTATTCATTTTTTTCATACATCAATTCAGTCTGTTGACATGCCTAAATCCTCCGAGGGATTCCAGGCACTGTACTAGGCTTTGGGAACAAGAAGATGAAATATATATTAAAAAATACAGTTCCCACTTACAGAGCTAGCTCAGACATTGATGAAGTGTTTTACACATGTTACTTCATTCAGTTCTCACAATACCATGAAGCACCTTTAGTTTTACAGATGGCCAATGCAGAACTAGCTAAGTGGAAAAGTGAGTATTCAAAGCAAAGTCTGTCTGACTTCAAAGCTATTACCAGACCACTATACCTCCATTTTCCACATTACAGCTTGAAGAAGGGTGTTCCATTCACCCCACCACCCACCCTCCTAAAATTAGATAAATATCCTTATCACTTATTGGTCACTGTGTCAGTAATGTTTTCCCCACCTATTTTAGTCTTTTTTATTGCTGTATCCTTAATACCTAAAAGGGAGTGTAATAGGCTCTAAGTAAATACTTTTTTTTTTTTTTTAGTTGGAGTCTCACTCTGTTGCCCAGGCTGGAGTGCAGTGGCACGCTCACGGCTACCCCAGAGTCAACCTGCTGGGCTCAGGCGATCTTTCCACTTCAGCCTTCCAAATAGCCGGAACTACAGTCACACACTACCATGCCTGGCTAATTTTTTGATTTATGGTAGAGATGAGGTCTTGCCAAGTTGCCCATGCTTGTCTCGAACTCACAGGCTCAGGCAATCCACTCGCCTCGGCCTCCCAAAGTGCTGGAATTACAGGCTGAGCCAATGAGCCTGACCAGCAAATATTTGTTAAACATAGTCCCCATCTTCTCTGAAACCACTTCCTTCACCTGTCAGCCAGAAGTGAGATTTTCGTTTTTGGAATTTCTACTACTTAGGAACCTTGTGAGGATGTCCCCTGCTGTTTCATGCTAGCCCTTATATTGGGTAGCACTGTGGCTGCTGTGCTTTCTTTCTCTAAAGCAGTTTCATAGTAATTGTGGAGTCTGGGTAAAGTTTGGTTCTTGCAGGCAAGGCGTGTTCTTTAAAGAGAACAAGGGAAGGAAAGCATTGGTTTTTCCTGAAAAATGCTTTGATCATGCCAGGTAACCGACAAAACTCATATATGGAAGATTGAAGAAATGACACTAGGATTTCTAGACACTGCTTGGGTTATGGTCTATATTAGGAGAATGATCTTTTTATTTTATTTTAAAGATGTGGGGTACAGTTCAGGATTAGGTACGTAAGTTGTCATTGTACAGGTGAAGTTTCGACCTCCCAGTGAAGTTTGGTCCTCCCTTTGGTCCTTACTTTGCCTGGTTTGGGACCAGGTATCCTTATTAATGTTATATGCCCCCTCAAACCTTCCCTCCTTTTCATGTAGTATTATGATAAATGTTCAGGTTCCACTTAAGAGTGAGAACATGTGGTACTCAGTTCTTTGTATGATAGAGTCTAAATCCATCGAAGTTGCTGTGAAGTTCCATAATTTTGTTTTTCTTTATAGCTGCCTGATATTCCATTGTTTATATGTACCACATTTTTAAAAAATCCAGTCCACTTTTGATGGGCAGCAGGGTTGGTTCCGTAGTTTTGCTATTGTGAATACTGCTGCAAAATACATGTGTGCACAGATATCTTATTTGTAGAATGATTTGAGTTCCTCTCGGTATATTCTCAGAGGGGGAAATTGCTGGGCCATATGGAAGGTCGAGTTTTCGATCTTTTAGAAATTGCCACACTGTTTTCCACAGAGGAAAACTAGTTTGCACTAGCTTACACTCCCACCAACAGTGTAAAAGAGTTCCCTTTTCTCCCCAAACTTTCCAGCATTTTTTGAGTCATTAATGATGGCCATTCTGACTGGAGTTAGTACCACAGTGTGGTTTTGATTTGCATTTCTTTGATGACGGTGAGGCTGAGCATTTTTTCATGTATCTGTTGGCTGCTCGTATATCTTCTTCTGAGCAGTGACTATTCATATCTTTTGCCCACTTTTTGATAGAGCTGTTCATTTTTTTCGTTTTGGCAGATTTGAGTTCCTTGTAGATCCTGGATGTTAGGCCTTTGTCAGATATGCAATTGGCAAATATTTTTTTTCCAGAGGATGATCTTTCTTTTAGTGTTGGAAGACACATTCCATAGAGGTTTGGATAGCAAGCAGCAGCCTTTTGTTGGAAATGTTTAGAGGTCTGAACTTGGAGAAAACTTAAATTTTAATTCTGGTGCCTGCTTCTCATTTTGAGCCTCTGTTTCTCCAAACATGAATCCTTTTCAGAGGAGTGTTGAGGTGGCTAAGAAGCATGTTTTCATTGGAATGTCATTATGTGTGTTAATATGAATTAACACTAGTTAAAAATGGAATATTTTAAAGTCACTCACAGGTTTTGGATGATCACTTGGGGTTTAGCCGAAAGTCAGTTTGAATATTGGCATTTTGGGATATATCTTTGTGTTCTTAATTAATGTATTTGTAGAAGTCTAAGTGGTGTAAGTGTGCTAAAAAAAATAGAACTGCAGTTGAAAAGCTTTTTTGCCAAACTTAAATCTCACTTTATATAGGAAAGGTTACCTCATCTGTAGAGTCAGAGCATTCAAGGATAGTGGCAGCTTTTATTTATTATGTGGAATGTAGTTGTGTTTCTGAAAAGAACTAATTCATCACAGTAGCTTGGTGGTTGCTTGGCTATGTCTCATTCTTCTACCAAAAGGACTCAGTTGATGAAAACTATTATTCCTAACCTCCCAGTAGCTTTCACCCAGTTCCAACCATATGGATCTTTCTAAGGAAGGTAATTTCTACCTTCATTTATTCTGGCTTTTTAAAAAATAGAGTTCCATATTGTCTGCTAGAATATTGGGCTGGAAGTCAATACGTTTTTTTAAACTTTGCCTTTGAGGCAAGTTAAAAAAAATATCTGTTGGATATAAATGTATGGGTTTATTTCTGGACTCTACATTTTATTACATTGGTCTACATCTCTTTTTATGCCATTAACATATTGTTTGACTACTGTAGCTTTCTAGTAAGTATTGAAATCAGGAAGTATGAATCCTTCAACTTTGTTCTTCTTTATGTGTTTAGTTGACTTTTTTTTCTATCATGAACTGTTTTGATTCTTTTCTCATTTTCTTTTGTGTGTATGTATAGATTTTTTTAGAAGCTGTTTACAAAATGTCATTATTTTGAAAGACCCATTATTGCATATGTATTTAATCTGTTGTGTCATTTTAAACTACATTATTCAGATAAAAATGTAGAAGTCAGAGAAAGTAATCAGAGTAACTTGCATACATGACTTCAGATGCAATTAGAATTACAAAGTGCATCATTACCCTAGCAAAGCATTCAAATGGTTATATAGCACTATTTTGGTAACCTGCTACCCATAACCTAGAAAAGGTTAAAAACAAATAGTCTTGGTTAATTATTAATTATGTTGTTATTAGAAGGGTGGGAGAAGACAGACTTCATGTATAGTGTAATTTTCATGATACTAGAAAATTAATATTTAAGAAAATGATTTGTCATTTTATTGATGGCATAATGGTAATTTTTAAAGCTTAAGGAGTATGCAAACAACTTATTTTAAAAATATAAAAAATAATATGTTTGTACTTATCTGAAATAAAAGACGTTTGCAATATTGAGTTTTAGAAACTAAATTTACCATCCATTTCCCTTAAAATGTAGAAAGTTACTTCTATAATAGTGTATATGAAGTGAAAAATGTGCTTAAACTGTGTTTATGGTTAACATTGGTTGTATAGTTCTTTTTAAATCCTGTTTATCAGTTGTGAATTGCATTTAGTTATATATATTGTGAATACTCAGCTGTCTTATACATTTTCTCTCAATTCATAGAAATGTTGAGTCAGGCACTGGAAAGGTAGTATGGTAGCTACCAGTTATTTGAGACCCAGGGACCTGTCTATCTCTCTTCTCTATGGTAGATACATAGCCTGTGGCTTCTCTTAAAATGATTCAGGGTCACTTTAGGCTCTAAGATAGCAGTTGGAGTTCCAGTGTTCCAGACTGGCACTAAAAACTAGAGTGAAGGAAAGTCCAGGAAGGGAGTTGGGGTGGTGAGTTGACATAACACTTTTCAGCCAAGCAAGCCCCCTTTTAAGAAGTGCCAGGCCCAGTGCTGTGGCTCATACCTACAATCTCAGCACTTTGGGAGACCAAGGTAGAAGGATTGCTTAAGCCCATGAGTTTGAGACCAGCCTGGGTAATATAATGAGTTGTTGTCTCTACAAAAAATAAAAAAAAAATAAGCCAGGTGTGGTGGCACTCAGTTTGCTGCAGTACATCTATCAAGAACCTTTTTCTACTGCTCAAGGCAGTTTTTGAACTTGTCAATTTTGATGCTTTTTATTGCTTCTGCTGTTTTTTGTTTCACCTCTTCTACATTGGCAAAACATTTTCCTTTGAGGACTTTTTTTTAATATGAGGAAAAAACAAAAAAAAAGTCCCTTGGGCCTAGATTGGTTGAATAGGGAGCGTGGGGTAAGGGGGTCATGCTGTTTTTGGTGAAAAACTGCTGAACACAGTGTAGGCAGCCATCATGAAATGGGCAAATACATTGAAAGAATATCCAAAAATAAATTCACTGAATCCGATCGCAGCCTCTCACAACGACACTAGCTGGTATACTGGTACTTACCTAGCAAGAGAAGCCTGTACTATAAGGTACCTATCCTCCAAAAGATAATTCTGTGTGTTTTTGGGTCCCCCCCTTGTATAATATATTTTATTCTAGTCACTATATTTAATGAGGATGACGTGGTATCCAGAGGATGGCAGCCAAAATGGTGAAGGTGTCTTCCATGACGGAGAGAGAGTTTTTGCCATGTTCTCCATCACAGTCCCTCTGTTTGACACAGTGGTAGCATATGGTAAATACTTGAAAATGACTGAGTAAAAGAAGGAGAGAAGGTAGACATTTATTTCATGAAATTAACTCATGAACTTAGTTTTTTCTTACACATAATGTTAGTTTTGCATACAGTTTTATTCTCTGAAATTGTTCTTAGAAATTATGGAGTCATTGTACTTATTATTAGCATTCTTTCTCTTTTTAGATAATATGTTAACTCTTAAGCATTTTTGCTATATAACCTAGGAAGAGTAGGGCAATATAGGATAATATGTAAAAAATGGAGTTACAGATTTTTTGGTGTTACTCATCCTTCTGTTGTGCTTGATTATGATAAACTGTACTTTTTTTTTCCTTCAGAAAGATGGTATTTTGTATAGAAAAAGGAGTCATAATTTTTTTGTGTTAATCCCTCTACCTTTGTGCTTAGAAATAAATGTGTAAGATTTCTTTTCCAGAAATAAGTCATCTTTTCCATTTTGTGTATATACATTTATGGTTACTAAGATTTTAAAACTACATAAGATTTCATTTTAAGGTATACTTTTAGGTGGATGATGAAGACTTACAGGATGAACCTCTACAAATCACAGTTCTTGACCATGATACTTACAGTGCAAATGATGCCATTGGTAAAGTGTACATTGATATTGATCCATTACTGTATAGTGAAGCTGCAACAGTCATCTCAGGATGGTTTCCAATTTATGATACCATACATGGTAAGGAACAATATTTTAAGAAGAATCACAATCGTAATCTTTTTCATTTATCCTTAAATATTTTTGTACTATACTTGGTGGTTTTTAAAATATATATATTTAAAAGATCCTTTTTTTTTGAGTTGGAGTCTCACTTTGGCGCCCAGACTGGAGTGCAGTGGCCGCTCCTGGCCACCACAGCCTCAACCTGCTGGGCTCCGGCGATCCTTCCGCCTCAACCTTCCAAGTAGCCGGAATTACAGGCATGCACTACCACACCCGGCTGATTTTTTGATTTATTGTGGAGACGAGGTCTCGCTGCCCAGGCAGGTCTCGAACCCACGGGCTCAGGCAATCCACTCACCTCAGCCTCCCAAAGGCGCAGGATTACAGGCTGAGCCACCGAGCCCGGCTTAAAAGATGCTTTTAAAAAAATAGCCAAGTAGTATTGAAGTATTTTTGGTGGAATTGTTACTTCTGTGAATGTGATTTGAAATAATGCCTGCTAAGTTTGTGCAAAAAAGTAAATGCATTATTTAAAAAATAATCTAGTATTGAAACTATGTTTCTAAGACACATTTTCAAGCTGATAATATTGATTTTTTTCTAGCTTAAAAATTCTTTGAAGGCTTTTTGTTGCCTGAAGCAGGGTTCTCAAATTATGGGCTAAGGACACATAGGGGTCTCTGAGATTCTTTCACAGGGTCTGTGAGTTGAGAACTGTTTTTAACATATATTTATATGTCATTCATTATTTTCATTCTCATTTTCTCACATGTATACAGAGGAGTTTTCTAGAGGTTTTATGATATATGATGTTACGTACATTGAATGCAGAGTAGAAACGAGAATCTTTGTTTCATTAACTAGGCATTATAGAGAATTGCAAAAATTTAGCACAGTGCTACTTATCACTAAATTTTTGTCTTTGAAAATAGAGTTATTTTTATTAAAAATGTTGCTTATATTAACATAAATGAGTTTATTATTATAACTTTAAATTAAGCAATATGTATGCTTTTTAAAATTCCAAATTTTAATTTTTAATATGGTAAATATTGATAAATGTAACGCACAATAAGCAAAAACTCTTTAAAGTCTTCAATTGTTTTTAAGATTGTAAAGAAATCCTCTGATTGAAAGGTTTGAGAAATGTATAATGTGTCTTTAGAATGGCAAATGAACCTACAACTGCTACTTGCCTTTCATTTTTCTGCCTTTTAAGATATTTTTAATCTGGCAATTCCATTGATAGTAGTTTATTATAAGAAAATAAGATGTTCGGTAAGATTTATGTTGCTACGATAAATAAAAAAAAAAGATTTATGTTTCTTTATTGTGACATTATTTATATTTTATTATTTACTAATGTTTAAAATGATAAAAATTGAAAAACGGTATTTACTTAAATTAGGGCATATATAGATTGTGAGTTATACAGTAAAAAAAATTATGCTTTCAGAAAAAAATTATAAGGAAACTTGCATGGTATATTATTACTTGCAAAATTCAGGTTATAAAACATACAGTGATCCAGAATTTGTTTAGAAACAAAATAGTTGCAAATATGAGATATCACTGCAGAAACTGTCAGAATATGTGATAAAATATTTATTGCTGGGTAGTTTTATTTCCCGATTATAATTCCATTTGTCTTCTTTGTCCTTTTATTGCCTTTTAAAATATTTTCTACAATGTATATGTATTTTATTTGTAATCAGGAAATAACATCCTGTAAAATGTTTGTTTTTAATATTGGTAAACTAATCTGGACTTGGATTAAAAAATCTGTATGAATGAATAAATTTTCCAAACATTTCACATTAAATATTATTTATAGTTTGGGGCCTTTTGTTGGGAATATAATGTTTTAATATTTCAGTAGTTAAATTAGTAAGCCACTTTTCTTAGGTTTTTCACTATAAGTATGAATTTTACATAAAGTCAAGAAAGAAACAAAAATACTTAGTAAATGTTTAGATATAAGGGCTAGGTCATTCTTATTTATCAGAGCATGTTCCCTTATTCTTGGAATTTTTTTGGTTAACTTATTTTAACATATCCATTGACATGACTAAAACTTCTTTTGTGTTATATTAAATTCTTGCATTCATTGTTTAGAGTATACACTTTGGGATCTTAAAGACCTGAATTTTAATCGTGTCTCTGCCACTGACTAGCTGTTGACACTATGTAACTTTTTTCACTTTTATTAATTAAATATTAACATCTTCCTCTGTAAAATGGGGCTGATACTCCTATAAAAATTACTTTGTTGAGTTGATGTGAGCACCAAAAGATACTATAGGTAAAGCATTTTGTATATCATCTTTCAGTGCTCAGCAAATCTTATCACCATCATCATTGTCATCAATTTAAATGGGAGTCCTTTCCAGTTAGTCTTGGTTCAAATATGTGGAGATTTGCCGTAAAAATAAAAACTATTCATTTTCTAGGGCATACATGTTCTGTCTCAGAAAATGTAATACAGGAACTACTGAGAATGAAAATAATTAGGAAACAAAGTTAGCTTTATTATTATGATCGATACTTTACAGATGCTCCTTGGAGTTACCCCCTGGTAAATCCATTGTAAACTGAAAATATCGAAAACTGCAAATGCATTTCATACACTTAATCTACAATAGCTCAGCCTAGCCTACCTTAAATGTGTTTAGAACACTTACTTCAGCCCACAGTTGGGCAGTATCATCTAACACAAAGCCTGTTTTATAATAACATGGTAAATATCTCACATAGTTTACTGAATACTGTACTGAAATTGAAAAACAGAATGGTTTTGCACCATTGTAAAGTCAAAAAATGATAAGTCAAATCATTGTGTATCAGGAATTATATTTTAAAATTATTGATTGGCACTTCTTTGCTTAATTATTTAATTGTACATTATTTTCTTAAGGAGCAACTTGATTTTTCTTTTGGATTTATAGGTATCCGTGGGGAAATCAATGTAGTTGTCAAAGTAGACCTCTTCAATGATTTAAATCGGTTTAGGCAGTCGTCATGTGGAGTCAAATTCTTTTGTAGTAAGTATATACATTATAATAGGACTCATTTAAGAGGAAATTTAATACTGGTTAAATATGGAAATCAAATTTTAGAAGCCTAATAGAAAAGGTGTTATACTTTGGTGTTAATGTCAAATAGAAAATTGTTAATTTCCCAGAAATAGTTACTGTAGCTCTGGGACTATTTATCTGATTTCAGAGTAAATAGCATTTAATTTTTACAAGTTTATAGGAATTTTGGTTAAAAAAAAGTGGTGATATTTTACTGTAGTATAGCATACTGAAAAATAAGAGCAGAACACTATAGCTAAGTACTATGGTGCTACCCCACGTTTCACAGGCTTCTATAGATAGGGTGCTCTGGGAAAGCCATGAAATATATGGGTCTGAATTAGCCCTTGTAGGTAACTCACAGCCAGCCAATATTAGTAGGGTTAAGTTAGCTTCTATACACAAATACCTGTTTTAAGAGATTAGTTTGGTGTAGATGTTCTCAGACTCTCCCCTTTTTCAATCTCACCACATCTTATGTAAATCCAATGACATTTGGATTTAAATAATTCTTATTATTTAATGAGTCCTATTAAATGAGTCTATTAAGTGTAGTGACTATTAAACCACTTCAGCATCTGGCCATGGGTTATTACAAACTGCAAGGCTGCACGATTCCTCAGGTTCTGTCAGAAAGATAATGGTTTGAAGCTGGTCATGGTGGCATGTGCCCATGGTCCCAGCTACTGGAGAGGCTGAGGCAGGAGGGTCACTTGAACCCAGGAGTCGGAGTCTAGCCTGGGCAACACAAAAAGACATTGTCTCTTAGAAACTAATAAAATACAAAAGAAAGGTAATAGTTTGATTTTTGAGGCTGTTATATGTGGTGTGCAGAAGTACTTTGGCAAAGGCCTTTGAATAATTAAAAATTTTTAAAAATCATTTTCTACTTTCTATCTGGCCTTAATTTTAAACTTTGTATTGAATGCTATTTGATGTGGTTTATAACTCTTTTCTAAATTATAAAATACAATTTATATTTACTGTGCTTCATGAGAAAGGTGAGTAAAGTGAGGCCTCATGAAGGAAATGATTGTTTCAAAGAATAAAATGGGTCCCAGAGGACTGATTGGAAGTATTACTATTATAATTACACTGAGCTTATCACAGTGAAAGATGTTCTTGTATTATATATCCACAAGGTAAGAACTTAGATGTGCACTTAAAAAATGAATTTTACCTTTTGATAAACAGAAGCATAATAGATCATTTGTTTTAACAGCAACATCTATTCCAAAATGCTATAGAGCTGTTGTAATTCATGGATTTGTAGAAGAACTTGTGGTCAATGAGGACCCAGAATATCAATGGATTGATCGAATTCGCACACCAAGGGCATCAAATGAGGCCAGACAGAGGCTGATTTCTTTAATGTCAGGTATTAAAAATAAACAAAACTTCATTACCAGTTTTCTTAATACTCATACATTTTTCACTTTTCTTTGACATGTTGCCTGAAATTTTACAATGAAGGCTATGAATTATAAGTGACAGATTTCCTACTCCTGGTCCCATCATCCTTAACACACACATACGATGTCTCCTTTTAACAAGTGGAAATCTGAATCAGAAGTTTGTAGCTCCTTTCTAAGTAGGTAGTAAATGGAAATTGTGTTCTTGAAGTGGGGTAGTAGAAAGAGCTCTGAGCAAGAAGGTTCAGGAAGGAGCTGAGCAGAAAACCAGATCCTAGTTTTTTTCTCTCCAGTATTTATAGTAATCAGAGCTTAGGCAAATCACCTACATTGTCCTCTAATACTTCTTGTTCAAATGAACAGGTATTAGATTCTTTTCACAATCTTTCCTTGAAAACTTACTGTAGTGCTGTCTTCTACCCCTTCTACTACTTTCTCTACCACTCTTGACCCCATTCCTTTTTAAAATTTTTCTTGGAAGAATTGTTTAGCACTAAAATTTATATTTCTGTGTGTATATGTTCTATATATACCATGTATGCTCACTTATATAGTAACACAAACAAGTATATATGCTATATTTAATAAATATGTGTTATATTTGTATTCTATATACTTGTGCTATATGAGATATATTTAAGTATATATTGTATATTATAATGTACTATAATAGAATTATGTTCTATATTCTACAGATTATATTTGCTTACTTATATTTTTATCAGTTATCCCATCAGTTTGTAAACTCCACTAGATTTAGAACTTTACCTTTCTTGTTCAACTTTGTATCTCTAGAACTTAGAGAAAAGGAAGAACACTAGCACATAGAACCAAAAATTGTTTGATAAATGAATGCATGAGAATGAACCTTACTTGCCACATCTGTAAAATGCATCTAATATTTTACCTCTCTGAAAGCAGGAGACTGGATTAGATAATCTTTTAGGTTCTTTTCAAGGTCTAAAAATGTATTATTTTTTGACTTGTTTTTTATCATTGCCATATCCAGCTTTATAACATGTAATGTAGAACATTTTCTTCCATTTTTGTAGGTGAACTGCAGAGGAAGATTGGCTTGAAAGTACTTGAAATGAGAGGAAATGCAGTTGTTGGGTACTTACAGTGTTTTGATCTGGAGGGCGAGTCTGGGTTAGTGGTACGAGCCATAGGAACAGCGTGTACTCTGGATAAATTAAGTAGCCCAGCGGCATTCCTTCCTGCATGTAATTCCCCATCCAAAGAAATGAAGGAGTAAGTATGAATCAATTAAATTGTTCTTATGGAGATTGCATTTTCATTTGATTTGAAACATTTTAGAGTTGTTCAACATACCTTTTTCCTACAATGATTTTTATCAGAGATGACTGCCAAAGTTTAAAACTTTAAAATATAATTTAGATAGTCCTTGTATTTTATTTATACTGTCTTAATATAAAACTCAAGTAACATGAAATTGTACTTATTCTAGCTCTTTTGTTACTTTGTATCTGAATCATAAAATGAATATTCATGCATTGTATAGAATTTTACTTGTTTTTTGAGGAATGCTTCAGACCCTCTAGCTGATAATTCAAATATGCTTATGATTGTCAACATAGTATAGAAAGCTGGAAAGACTGAATTGTACAGAAGTCTCAGACTCGTATGTCTACAGAGGCAAGGCAGTTGATAGCAATGAAATACTTGGGTGTAATTAAATAGGGACTACTTGGAGTCTGTGTAAAACTGAGGTTGGCAGACTTTTTCTGTAAAAGGACAGTGAGTATTTCAGGCACTGGCTACACAGCTTCTATCTTTATTTACAAATAAAAAAATGTCTGATGATCCTTTTTCTAAAGGAACTTAGAATCATACATTTTTTAAATACTTCCTGTGATCCTGCAAAACCCTTCTGTTGGCTGAATTTGGCCTGTGTAGGTGTCATCATTGTGTCACAGGCAGAGATTCTCAAAGTGGTGTTGATGATATTGTCAACATGGAATTTTGGGGCGTAGGTTGTTTTGGGGACCAGAGATGCTTGCTATCATACATAATAAGAGACAACCCTATAGGATGAAGATGTATTTTGTCCTAAATGCCAGTTATGCTTTAGTTGAGTACCACTGATCTTGAGTGTCTTCTTGATCAAGGGGTGCCAAGCCTTTTCTGTAAATGACCAGATAGTACAGAAATAGTTTCTGCTGATACTACCTACATAACTCTGTCATTATAGCTTGAAAGCAGGCAAAGGCAGTATGCAAATAAGTGAGTGTGGCTGTGTTCAAATAAATCTCATTTATTTACAAAACAGATGGCAAGATGGATTTGGTTTGTAGTCCACAGTTTGCTGACTTCCCTTCTAGATAACCAGGGCTTCAGAAGTCTCTTAATCAGAAAACCTAAAAAAGTTTCCCAGTTCAGGAATGGTAAGAGGGGTTAAATAGAAAGCAATCATAGTATTATTTTTTTTCTCTTTGCAATATTTTTTAAAATGAAATTTTTGTCCTTATATTAAGTTTATTCAGTTTGTTAACTCATTTCTTTTCTGCTGGCTGTTAGTTACTTTGATTACAAGAACGAGCACCATATTACATATTGCCTAATTTATCTGGAAACACATTGACAAAATAACTGTTTTTTATAAATTGAAGAGTGAACTTGCTTTGTATTCCATTTAAAATATATCCTAGAAAGATATGAATTGCCAGCTGCCACAGATGAGAGTCAGATCACAGATATAACTTTCTCAGGAATTCAGATTTTTTTTTCTTTCCATAGCAAATTTTTGTAAAGACTTAATAACAAATTTAAGTAAAATGCAAATTTAAATAAGTTGCTTAGAGGAAAGAGAAAGACAAAGCTATATCACCTGCTTGGTTTCTCCCAATGAGATGAGGATAGTGGGGAAATGCGTTTTGCCTGCATTTAGAAAGAATTCCATTAATGTAAACCCCCTGGGGTTGTGTAAATTTTCTTCTTTTCTAATCTTGCAGCCATTTGCCTTAAATTGTCGACCAGTCACACCATTACAAATTTAACTTGTTTCGTTAGGATTTTCTAAAGACATCTTATTACCTAAGTGAAGTTATTCATAAACAAACAAACAAAAACTCCTCAGTACTCAGGCAGCTTTATTTCAACCAGGCTCAGCTTCATTGTATTTTTGATAATAGATCAATTTGGGTGCTATTTCAAAGCTTAGTTTATGAGTCAACTGATTATATCCTGATATTTTTCAATGAACATTGTTGATTCTAGACAGGAATTTGGTAGAAGGTAGTTTGTGTTCCTGTCTGAATGGACAGTGACATTAATATTAGAAATACCACAAAGGTATTATTATGAGGAAAGCTTTCATGCACCAAGACTGATTGATCTATAAGATTACATTATGATGATGCTCCTGTGTATTGGAAATTTAATTTGATGTCGTCATTTGAACATTTCACAATGTTCATTATATTTGTTCACTTTATTTCATTTTACCTATATTAATGACATGTTCTACTTAAATTTGTTTCTTATTTTTAGATGTTTTGTGTAATGCATATAAAGTCCTTTGGTGTTTTCTAGCTGAACTCTCTTGGTGACAGTACTTTTAAATATGATTTATTGCTTCTCTACTTTAAAAAAATGCTTTCTACTATCCTTTGGCTATAAATTCTGTATATGGTACAGATTCTTAGACTCTCCAAGTCTAAACATTTTTGGACATTTTCTCATTTCTGCAGAGAGATAATAAAAACAAAACCTCATTCAGTTGTTTGTATAAAAATAGCTCACCAATGAGATGTTTGATTTTTATCAGTTATAGTAAACACCTTTTAAATTTATATTAGCAGAAACATTTATCCTATTGTAAAATCATAATATCTTCAGAAAGTAGTCCTGTAGACTCTAGGAAAGACCATTTTGGTCAGTTAGTGATCGCTCTTGTTTGACCCTTGACAAACTGTGAATGGGAGAATGTTCCCTGGGCAGTCAATAGTATAGGAGTGGAAAAGAAAAAATGATTAGGAAAAGTTGGGCTCTTGGCCTGTCTTAAATATGAATTCTAAAAAATGGGGATGTGATAGTTTTTCAAAGTGTATTCATGTATGATTCTATTTCTCTCATTGTGTATAAGCAAAGACATTGCACAGTGAAATAATTGCTAACATGAAGTTCAGGGTTCTAATTTATGTAATATACCTCTTTACCCCATTCAGTGTAACCCTTTTATACAAATTTCTTCTCAAAAGTTTTAACAACTTTTAAAACTTTTTAATATATACACTTGTATATATATACACAAGTGTTTTAAAACTTTTTTATATGTACACTTTTTTATATATACACTTGTATATATACAAGTGTACTTTTGTATATCTGATCTAAGTATGTCTATATATACTAGATGTGTTCTATTATAGAATGTAAGTTGATACCTTAAAAATTCTGATTCTGAAGCCGGGCTTGGTGGCTCAACCTATAATCCCGCGCCTTTGGGAGGCTGAGGTGAGTGGATTGCCTGAGCCCGCGGGTTCGAGACCCGCCTGGGCAGCGAGACCTCACCTCTACAGTAAATAAAAAAAAATCCGCCGGGCGTGGTAGCGTGCGCCTGTAGTTCCAGCTACTTGGAAGGCTGAGGCGGAAGGATTGCCAGAGCCCAGCAGGTCGAGGCTGCGGTGGCCACTGCACTCCAGTCTGGGCGATAGTGAGACTCCAACTCAAAAAAAAAAAAAAAAAAAAAATTCTGATTCTGAATGTAGTTCATATAATATATGAGAGCCAGACAAAATTTTTACATCACTATATCAATGAGTACCAGTGTGTTTTTAAAAGCAGTGTCCCTTTGCTTTATTTCATTTCCAGTGTAACCTGGTTTTAAGCTATATATTTGGTGTGTTGAAATATTGGAATGTGTATATCTGCTTTTGTCCATTCAGTTCATGCTTTCATTTTTCATATTCTTAAGTACCTTGTCTTGAGATTTTAAACAGAAACAATTGTAAAATTTTTTCTATAGAAAAATATAGTTAATTATATCAATAATTTATATCTCAGTTTCAAAGGTAGTATAAGAACTTTATATTTGATTTTTCACTTTCATGGATATTTTCTCCTTCCCATAACTACTATATAGTAAGTTCTATTGTGATCAAAATAATAACAAATGTTAAAGGAACTTAAAATGCAAATCTTAGTCTTTTTAAAATTTAAATTCATTGGCTATTCTGCTTGCTATTTTTCTTATTCACATTCCTAGTTTATTAATCTGATCCTTTAAAATTATAACAATAATAAATTAATATTTAGCTATTCTTTTAAAATTTAAACTTATTTTTTGCATGCTAGGTGTTTAAAAAAATAAGTTCTCTCCCCTAACTAAAGCTCCTTTGACATTATTTTAACAACATAACTTTGCAATCTGTTGTATGTATTGTTTTCTTTTCTTCCACTTTGACCACAAATTCCCTCAGGTCTCCGCTGGTTCATCCTCCAAGCCATGGATGCCGCTCGACTCACAACAGCCCAATTCACACTGCTACTGGCTCACGACTTACTCAGAACTTCTCTGTGTCTGTTCCCACTCTCATCTATACTGGTACGAGACTGCTCAGACTCCAGAGCTGGGGAGAGGCAGGCCACGGGCAGAGTGGCTGCAGAGGCAGGCAGGCAGGTAGCGTAGGCAGGTACCACAAGTCTTTGCTACCTCCTTTTCTTACTTGAAGTCCAGCTGCAGTGAAGAACTTCTGTATTTGGCTGACACAGAGGCTTTAACTATGGAAGTGAAGGTGTTCTTCTAGCTTCCAAAGTCTCTTCCACAGATCCTCTAAGAACCCTATCTTATAGATGTATGAGGAAAAACCTCCAGTATGATTATTTCTGCATTTGTGTAGAAATAAAATTGATGATTAAATTCTAAATGAAATGGCTACCAAAGCTTCCAATTTGCTTATTTTCATTATGTATAAAACCTATTGCAGTAGGTTCTGTTTCATTCTGTGGAAGAGAGCTATTGGAAAACAGGTAAGCAACTATTCTGCATTAAATGCAATGTTTCTGTGTAGCTGTATTCATTTTTCTCTCTGCTGTGTTTTTAGCTGTGGCACTCTTGATGCTATAGGATAAGGAAACATTTATTTCTTTTGAAGATATCTGTGTGTGCAAATATAAAAACAATTATGAATATTTACACACACCATTTATAGTTATCATTTTTTCTTTTGTAACTTAAAAAAGCACTGTTTATTTGGAACTATTTTGTCATATATTATTTTTATTTCTCTTTTTAATATTTTTTACCCCCTTAGTCTATCATTTCATGCTTTTTTGCTTTTTCACTTGGCTTATTAACTGTTTCAATGCAGATCATATTTATCTGGAGAATGTTGAATGGTTAAACAACAATTGATTGTCTTTGGCCTCATTCCCAGCTCCACACTTAAGAAATGACTGCTGGCCCTGCCCCAATACTTTCCTGGTGTTTGGATCATGCTGCCATCCGTCAGGCCATTGGCACATGACTGCTTAATATTTCTCCACCTTCTTCTGGCAGGATTCCCTTCAATGAAGATCCCAATCCCAATACTCACTCATCAGGACCCTCAACCCCTCTGAAAAACCAAACTTATTCCTTTTCACCTTCCAAGTCCTACAGTCGACAGTCCTCTTCTTCTGACACAGATTTGAGTTTGACACCCAAAACTGGTAAGGCGCTTCCACCCACCTTTGTTTTTTGTTTTTTAAGAATTTGTTTCTGTTTCTTGTTAGCTTTCCATCCAAATCTTTCCTCCTGTTTTTGGCTTTTAAGTTAAAAGACAATATGAAACTGATCATTTGCAGTTACTGCAATTAAAATATGAAAGTTTTATATAGTTCAAGGATTATCTTGTTCTGAGATATACATTTTGGTTGATTCAATCATAGCCTAGATACCAAGTTCAAGATTTATTTTTGTGAGTAGATTTTTTCATTCCATGCTGAAATTAACAGGAATAACATCTTAAAGCATTTGAATAGAAAGTAACACTAGTAGCTTGTGATCAAATTTCTCATGCAGTATAAGCATTTTTGAATTCGTTGTTTCTGCCTATTAATGAATTTAATTCTAGTATCTTTATCATAAAAGAAATCTTAACCACAGAAATGGTTATATTGAAGTATATGTATCTTTTATCTATTTATTAACTTGTTATTTAAGATGTTTGGTTTTCCTAGTTTTACTCTCTAGGTTAGAAAATAGTATTTTCACTTTACTTATTCTTGAATTTTTCTCAGTTTATGAAATTTATAATTTCTTCCTTTCCTCTTTGTATTTTGGTGAATAATTTCTGAGTTTTTATGAATATGTTTTATGATAAGAAGTTGATAAATCAGTTTATTGTACTTTAAAATAGAAGTAACGTATTCAAGTTTTTATTAAGAAAAATAAATTTAAAAAGTTAAGGTTAATGGTTTATAATTTTTATGAAATCTATCAGATTGATTAAAACATAGTTCTTATTTGTGTTAGTTTTTAATTTATCATCTGTAATAAGAAAAAACAATGAAATCTTACTTCAAACTAGTGGTGCTTCTAATGAAAAGGCATTTTTAAAAGGCCTGTAGATTTTATTTCTATTTTTATAAATGTAGTCACAAAAATATAAAGAAGATAATTATGAGCACCAATTTCTTTGAAAATAATAGCTTTATTTTTGCATATACATAATTGTGAATAATGTCCAAAAAAAATGTAATATTTGATATTAATGAATGCTTTGGAATGTGGCATCATAATCATTTTCATGCCATAAAAACTGAATCATTCAATTTGTAGTGAAAACAAATTTTAAAAGTAAACAATAAGAGATACTAGCCTTAAAATTCATGACAATCAAAACAAGAAAGACTTAGGATAGTATTTGAATAATACATTTTTGAAAAATATTTTTGAAGCTTTGGTCTACTAACTGTATTCTTGGCTGTTTTTCAAAACTCTTACCTATTAGTTTTCTTTGCTACCAAGAGGTGAAATTTTGAAAGTATTTTTTTGGTCTTTCAGTTCCTTTTTTTAAATTCATCGAAAAGGCCAAGTCTAAAAAAGAGTGTCAGTAAATTAACTGAACCAAACTTCTCTTCCCTTAACTTTCTAGTAGGCAATCAATTGTTTAACAGTGAAAACTTTTCTGAACTTTGTCTTCTAGCTCTAAATTTTTAATCTGTAAACATTTATGAAGGAGGTATTATTCTCATGTATTTCTATATTTATAAACTACCTCTAAGTAATTTTGTTTTACCTGTAATTATTTATGACCTCAGTAGATTATTTATATTATACTGGCAATTTTTATACCTTGGCCTTATCCTGAGTCCCCGTATATCTCTGAATAGTTCCAAGGGAGACTCCTATTTCTCAAGGAGATTTAGAATGGCAAAATTACGATTGTTTTAAAAATTCAGAAGCTGTAATTCAGCATGTATTTCATGATTACCTGACTTTTAATTTATTTATATGCAGAATCAGTGTCTTGAAAAATAGTGGAAAGAAATAAGCTGATTATAACTGGTTTGGGAAGCCAAAGGTAGAATAAAGTTAATAAAGCTTAGACTCAGGAAGTTGGTTTTTTGTTGTTGTTTGTTTAAAATTAAAGCTATTATCTGCATTTCTGGTAGGTCACTTGTAAGAGATCTTATTTCTGTAGATTCTACATTTTGACATTTTGCAAGGCTTCGTTTTTATATTCTTTTCCAAGGACTTAACTGATAAGAGTGGAAATATAGATTGCTAGTACTAGAATATTGATTTGACACCTGACTTAAGCTAATTGTTACTTTTTTAGTCAGGCTTTTAACCATGTATAGTTTTTGTGATCCAGAGGATTTGTGACCCCTAGGGTACTCAAATCTCTGTAAATGCAAACCGTACTATAGAAAAAGAAAAGTATTACTCTACATTTCAAAGCTGAACAGAGAGTAGTTAGTATTTGTTTAAAATTTGCACTGACAACCGTCTACTTCATCTGATACTGAGTGTTTGACTTTTTTTATGGATATTAATGGAAATATCCGTAAATACTATCTTTTAGTAACATTTGAAGTATTGCACCTTTGCCACTTTAAATAAGGGTTAATATTCCAGGCAACATGTTCTGGCTTTAAAAATTTGAAAATTTGGTACATTTTGACCTTACAGATTCTTGAGCATTAAAAGGGCAGGTATCCTAAGATAGTGACTTAAAAATTTTTAATGAATGCAGAGTTTGTAAAGGTTTTGTTGCGATTGTGTCTTTTATTTACATGTATGCATATGTTATATAGATGATCTCGCTAGTGACTTTTCATTTGCCTAGTGTAATTTGTCTATACATTTAAAAATTCACTTTTACTGTTATGTTTTGCCTCATCATTGCTTTCCTTATCCTGCATTTTCTGATCATCTTCTGAATCTGCATCTGCTACTTTCCTCCACAGCTCCTTACCCACAGGGACCTAGGATTTACCTGTGTCCCAGTTCCCCCTCCCTCTCTTGTGGTTCCCCTCATCTTAAAAAGTCCTGTCTCCTCTTCTCGGAATCTAGCCTTCCCCCTCATCATTCTAGCATTGTCAGCCCAGTTCTGAGGAAAAGTGTTTCTTTCAGTGAAGAGCTGTTCCTGGCTGCTTCTGGTAGGATCAAATTATGTCAGCTTTTTAATCCCTTTATTTTTTTATACTATAAATAATTATTGGGTATTTTATACAGGATGTATTTCTATTATTTTTCTTACCAGTAAACAGAGTTAAACAATTAGAATTATAATACGGATATAATTGAAGATATAATTACGAATATTCTGCTAAATTATTTTATATATTAACAATTATATGTCTAAGGACATAGAACTGGATATTTTTAATAATTACTAGGTTTTTATTACTAGAGTTTCTGTTTTAGATGCTTTACTTTCATTCCCTTCATATCAGCTCCATTCACATTGGACCTGTGTCGTCATGTTGCTAAACCATATGGTTACACTAACTAATTATTCTGTTTGAATCAGTTTAAGTCTCATTTTGGTGATATTCTTTCATTTTCCATTTTTTTCTCTCTATTGCATTAATTATCAAATTATTCTGCTATATTTTCTGATATTTCACTTATCGCTACAAATTTACATTTTATTTTCTGACTTTTAATATGCTTCATATAAAGATCTTAGTTTCATTTCTTTGTTTAGTATTGTATAGTCTCTAAAAAATAATGCTTAGATTACTATTAGAAAAGTAAATTTCTTTTTTGTTTTTAAAGAACAGAATGGGACTATACACATGCTAACCTTTGTTTCCTTATCCAAGAACAGCTAAAAATGTATAAAATAAATTAGTTCCTTTTAAGTCATTATAGTAAATTTGGCTGTATGCATCTTCAGTTTTTAAAGGGGTGGGATTAACTCTAGTTTGTAAAGCACTGGCTTCTTCCCTGTTTCCTGCTTTCTATGATTCTTTGACCATATAGTTGATCTTTTGGTACTATCAAAACAATACTTAGAGAAAGAAATGTAAAATTAAGCCTTAAGAATATATTTAAAAGTTTGGGAAATATAATTCTTTCACCCATAACTTTGTATATTTGTGATGTGTCTAGTACATGTCCATGATTTTTAGTTTTAAAAAATTATTATGATGATTTTTGCAAATAAGCATTGAGAAGTATAAAATTGATGTTTTGTCATGATATCTAGAAATGGAAATTTATCAGAAAATAGATTTGAGTATATTTCAAATTTGCCTAAATTTCATGCTCTTTATTAGAGAATTCTGGAATATCTTAAGTGAGCACAGTTAGTGCTTTTCTTTATATTTAATCAAACATTTACTTCTTAAAAATTTCTTTTAGTATTCTTAAATTGTCAGCATAATAATTATTACTGGTAATTTTTTACTAAAAGACTCAACTTTAAAAAATAGAATGTTATGAAAATTATCATTACCTTAACATCATTTTTAAAATTTTCAGAACATTTCTATGGGCAACTGAAAAAATATTTCAAAACAAAGTATTCCAAAACTAACTATGGTCAGTAGGTCAGTAAGACTTTGACACCTTGCTTCTAGTGAAATCTTTGCGAATAAAATAGAAGAAAATACGTGCTTTAGTTGTCATCCCAAATGCTTTAAATATCATTTTATCATATTTCAACTCATGTTTATGAAGATGAATGCAATTAAAATTTCTGTTTCTATAGTTGTTTTTTTGGTTGTTATTTATGTACTGATGTTCTGTAGGAATGGGAAGTGGTAGTGCTGGAAAAGAAGGGGGGCCATTTAAAGCTCTTTTAAGACAACAGACTCAGTCAGCATTGGAACAGAGGGTAAGAGTCACTCGACATTCTTTGTTCTTATGCTGTTCTATGACCTTATTTTCTTATGTTTTCATGTACTTGTATGCTTTCATAAACTGTTTTTGGTCATATATCTATAATATTGAAATTTCAAAGTTCAAAATGTGTAATGTATCAAAGTAATTTATTCATGCATAATTACTGTTGTTTAGAAAAAAATTTTAAGCTATTTTTGTTTTGTCCTCCAATCTTTTATTAGAAGTACTCTTTTTGGAAATACCTATTGAATGCTGAAGTCATTTTCCATTAAAGTATAATATGCTAAAGAAATGGTAGACATTTTTGCAGAAAAATATTTCAGTAGCATTTCATTATATTAAAAATAATTCTTTAGTGTATTAATATATTTATTTAAGGAGATTGCTTTTATCATTAGCCAATCTCTTAGTGATAAAAAATGCACAAATTGTATATTTCCACAGAGTAATATAAAGAATGTGGTTTTTCAGTATAATGCATTTATTTTAAATATTACATGTTTAATATTTAGTTACATTTGTAACATGGGAAAATGAATAGTTACAGTTTTTGGATGAATTTTCTCTTTATTTTTTTTAAATTTCATTGCTAAGGGAGGATCGCCTCATAGGTTCTGTAGAAGGCGGGTATGTTTCTGAACGTGTGAGAGCCTGTTTTTTTGTATTGGAAGCTTTTCTAGTTTTAATCTTGATTATTTAAGTTTTATTTAAGCTTTTAGCAAATGTTGCCAGCTTTTTTATTTTCATAATGCAAAGTTTGTTGGTTTGTTTGTTTGTTTAACTTAATAGCACTGTGAGGCTCATGTTCTTTTTTCTACTAACACAGTGCATGGTTTTATATGTTATGTCAATTATTTTTAAGACAGTTCCATAGCTTTCATTATGTCTGATTTGGAACCTATAAGTATTTATAGAATTTTCTTTTACACATTTCGTTTTACAGTAGCATTTGGAAAAAAAGGTGAAACAGTAAATACTTGTACAAGGCTACATTTTATAAAACAAAGGTATTTCTCTTCTAGAGGTTAGCTCTTGAGAATAGTGTTTTTCAGATCTTGCTGTTACAAGTTATGCCATTTAATTTTTTAGTCTTTATCTCCTTATGCTGACAGTATTTGTGTATGTATTGTTTGCCTCTTGGACAAGGCTGGAGAGAGCAGAGTAATGAGCCTTTGCTTATACCTATTCTTTGCTTTATACCCTAGTAAGCAGCAGTTACCTTTTACCTACTTTCATACCTTACAGGCATGCTAACAACTGACACCAAAAGATACACCTTAGCATTTAAATCATCTATTAAAATCAAATATAAACTAAAAACATGGAAGAGAAGAGGGTCAGAGTGAAGTTGTGTGTGTCCAGTTAACCATTTTTTAGGCCAGGATGCTCTCACCACACCTACTCCCCATTTTATGTTCTTTACAGAGTTTCTCACACTAGGAATATGATTTCTTGTAATCTAATTACCATTTCAGAATTCACATCAACAGAAAAACCTGGGTTCCTTTGAAATTTGATATAATGAGATTTTGTCTGTGACTTACTTTATGTACTAAGAATTTTTAAAAAGCCATCTTTAATGGAAAAAATATTTAAGTCATTTTGAATTTAGTTTAGATAAAATTTATGTTTTCAAATATGTTTTTAAACATTGTTAAAATTTTGGACACATTAACACACTGAGCATACATTACCGGATAATCTTCCTGGAATTAACAGTAAAGTTGTAGAGAACTATAGTTTTCATTTATAACTTTGTTAATCCTGAGCTGGCAATATATCTGCATTATGTATTCATTATGTACTATGTCCTCAAAGTATCAGTGACTTGAATTTATGAGACTACTTCTGTACCCTGTGTATCTTGCGTACATAGTCAATAGCAGAAATATTATCATCTTTGGCTTTCCTATTCACCTGTGGCACCCAATAGTATGGCTTTTGTTTTTTAAAAAAAATTATACAGAAGTATGAAGAATTCTCCCTATTTATGTTCAGATATGACTTAATTCTGCCAATGTGAACACTAAGGTATGTCACTGACATGACCTGCTAATATACTTTTTTGTATTTATTTATTTAGTAGTCATTTCTATCCCTTGTTAAATGACCCTTAATAAATTTTATGTTTCTTTTTCATTGAGGAAAGATAAACTTTATTTGCCTGACCTTCTTTATTTATGGATTACTCAAGTACCAGTTCTCAAAAATAGAAGTGTTATTCTTTACTCTCACAAAAGCATTAACAACTGAATTGACAAGATCTTGGCAGTAAGGTGCCAGATTTTTGGGAGAGGAGAAATAGAAATAAAAATTTTATTTAGATTTTAGTTCCACCTATGAATTATTTCATTTTAAGTAAATAGGTTTATTTTTCAATAAGACTTTTGTTTCACCTGTAAGAAAAATGGAAGCTTCTTTTTAGTTTCTGGAATGTGTTTTTTTCTTCAATAAAGAAACCTAGTTAACTTTGTATTTCCCATTGTAGTTTACCGTGGGACCTTCCTATTAGTGAGGAACACACTTGGGAAACATTGATATAAACTCTGTGGTGAATTATGATCTTTTTTGGAAGTGGGAGTTAAATTATACAATAAATCATAGTAAAAATCTGTCATGGATTTTTATATCAGAAAGTTCACTCTTGTCTCTTGGGATAATATTTTATTTAAAAAATTAACTAAACATCTCAGAAAAATCATATTTAATTCTCTTTAAAAAATAATACTCCCATTGTGTTCTGATAACTTTTCAACTAGCCTATCTTTGAGCACAAACTGTTGAATATTTTTATGCCACAAAGCATCAACATGTAAAGTCCATTTAGGTATCACAATGAAAGATACTTTAAATATGAAGACTTTCTGGAGAAAATTTCTTCTGCAGTTCCTGAAATTCTCATTTAGGTATTGAAAGTAGGATGTGCTTGGGCTGATCTTAAGGAAGCTGTCTTTTTCAGTGGAAGAAATATAAATTCATCAGTTGTAATAGATGATTGATTAAAATCAAGTCCTTAATTCAGAATGACACAGAAACCAGATGATAACATTTTTCACCCAGAAAGAGTCTAGGCATAAAAGTCCTCTTGACTTCAGTTTTTTTTATATAAAAAAATGGTGATAATAGTACCATTCTCTTGGAGTACAGGAAAGGTTATAAAATATAGGCTACAGGGCCTCACATATATAAGTACTCTACAGTAGTTGCTGGTGATAAATGGTGATGATAGGTACTTAATAGTCTCCTGTAGCTTTCTGCAGTAGCTCCTTTAATTGGAGAATTGTCTGATGATGGAGTTTTGGTTAAATAATAGTGACATTTTTATTTATTATAGGTTACATTTTGGGTTTTAACATGCTTTGGTCTGCTGATTAGTTGAACTGAGGACATGTAACATAGAGTTTAAAGTCGGCACAATGGGCCCTTTGGCAGCCATTTTCCTGTGCTTTTCTTTCAGTTCAGCTCTGGAATGATGGTTTCCCTCTTGTTTCTTTAGTCAGTCTCCCAAAATATGGGGAAAAGAGTAAAGAATACTAAATTGAGAAATCTTTTTTTTCTCATATGTATCTAAAATCTCATACACAAATGTTTTCCAATATGTAATTTACCTAGTTTATTTTCTAGTTTCAAAAGGAAGTTTTTTTCCATTTAGCTTACAGAATTTTTATTTTCAGTCTCGTCTAGATATTTGAAAAGCTTAAGTGTAAAGATTAGGTGTAAAGTTCTTTTTTATGCTGTGGGACTATCACATGCCTTAGAGATTTTGAAGAAATTTTAAAATTTAAATGTTTCTCATGTTAAAAAAAAATCTTAAAGACCTAAGTGACATTACTAATAACACAAGCTCACCTAGACATTTGTCCTTTAAAACTCGCATTTAAAAAGTTCAAATGGAAATAAAAATGTATTGACTAAACATTTTAAATACTTCTGAGTGGCATACTTTTCTTCCATTCTCTCTTTTCCCTTCCTTTCCTTCTACCTGTCAACTGGGCCAAACCAAACCACTTCCATAGACTGCTTTTTTTACTATTTTCTTACATAACCTAAATTTGTCTTGCTCTTATTAATTTAAAGATTACTTCTAAATTCTAACTGAATTATTTCTAAATATGTGTATGTAGATATATATACATGTACATACATATATATTTTTTAATACTTAATCTTCATGGGATACTGAGGTTTGCAGGACTGTTTGCTTTTGTGCTAAATGATTCCAAGTTGCTATGCTTTGTGAGTTATGCTTTTGTGAGTTTGTATTCTTCATGCTTGAAGCAGCCAGTCCCTAATCTTAATGCTTTTAATGTGCTTGCTTCTAGTAGTATTTTGTATCTCTTTTTCTCCTAGCTTTTTTGTTGTTGTTGTTGCATTTAATCTGCCATAGTCTAGAAAATAAGTCAATGATAAATTTTAGAATTGCATGGTCTTAAGATATCTATTTATAATTGTGTTTCTCATAGTATAAATATGATCTGTGGGGATCTCCTATGAATAAAGTGTCTGAGCTTTAGTACTTGAGTCCACAATAGTTCTTTTGACTGTTGAGTTCCAGCTCTCAGTTATGTTCAGAATAACTAAGACTACTACTGGTAAGTGACTTCTAGTTAAGTGAGCACATTAGTCTCGTAGCCAGACAGAAAGATGCCAGGTTTTTCTTAGTTGCAACCAATTTGTATAATGCCAAGTACCTCTATGTTTGCACAGGCTTAGGGCCTCCCTTTCTTTCTAGGTGCTCTTTCAGTGAATTTCCTTTCTATGCTTTGTTATTTCTCTTCTGTGTGCTTCTCCTTGTCTCCAAGTTGACCTTAAGAGAGAAGGGGAGAATAAAGTGTAGAAGAACTTGTAGAATAAAGTGTAGAAGAATTTGTAGAATCTTACTGCCTCCCTAGCTCTGATCTACATACATTTTTCCTTTTCCTTAATATACATTGATGTACTTGTATTTGTTCCTTCCCTGGTGTTGGTAGAGTAAGGGGGGTAGATAATTTCGCCCAGCGATTCTCTACCTTACTCAACTTGATATTTGTCCTGTCCTGTCTTTCTCTTAACCCACACTGCTCAAACTCTCACTTCCTTTCCCTTTTGACCCCTTTTATTGACATGTCTTGGCTCAGGCCTTCTGTTTTGTGTGTGTGTGTGTGTGTGTGTGTGTGTGTGTGTGTGTGTGTATGTGTATGAAGGAGGCATCTGTACCACTTAGAAAAATATATGGGTAGAGGGATAGGGTGGTCCACTCATCTTATTGTAAAGTTTCATGGAGTAGGAAATTGACAGGAAGGGTATGTTCCAAGTACTTTACATTGAAACTCTGGTAAGAACATTTTTTCTCATTGAGAATTGATGAAAAGGGTGATTAGGTTCTGTATACCACTATATATATGGGAAAATGGATTTGGAACTCTAAACATTTAATAAAACATAATTATGAAGCATATGTGATGTATAATAAGTAGCCCTTTATTCAAGGAATAGAATATATTTTCTTTTGGCAAGCTTTTTAACACATTTTTTTTATAGCTTACATACAACCAATTTTCTTTTTCCCTATTCTTTCTATTAGGAATTTCCATTTTTTACCTTGACGGCTTTTCCTCCTGGATTTCTTGTACACGTTGGGGGTGTTGTTAGCGCACGTTCTGTGAAGCTTTTGGATCGTATTCACAATCCTGGTATGTTCTTCAAAAGTTTGTTTTCAGTGTTTCCTTTACTTAAATTGTGGTTATTAAAACTGATTTTCTTGATGTTTTTTAAGCCAAAGCCATCCGAAAAAGATAAATGAAAAGAAAATATAAACTGGCACATTACTTTAACATATTTGTAGTAATCTTAATTAAAAATAATGGAACTAAGAAGTATATTTTAGTTACTTTTCTGTAAAAAACAAAAAAAATTCTTGATTTATTTTTGGTCAAGTTATCATTTTTGAGGGGATCCTTAAATAACTTTTGAGTCTGCTATTTTCTTTGACCCAGGGAGATAAAAAATGTTACAGTTTGGCTATTATGACCAATAGTTTTAGATGTTAATTCTTTTTATTAGCAATAGTTTTGTATAGATTATTTAATTTCCTTGTTCTTAAAAGAGGTATTTAAAATGTAAGTGTAAAGCAGGAATTGTGGTGCATACCTGTAGTCCCAGTTTTTTGGGAGGGAGGCAAGAGGATCACTTGTGCCCAGGTCTTCAGCGCTGTGGTATGCTGTGATTGTGCTTGTAAATAGCCATTGCACTCCAGCCTGAGCAATACAGTGAGACCTCAAAAGAAAAGTAGTTGTAAACCTTGTGTGGAGTATCTAAGAATTAAAGAAACAAACGAACTTCTGGTTCCTTTATTTCTTTTTTTTTTTTTTTTTTTTTTTGAGTTGGAGTCTCACTCTGTCGCCCAGACTGGAGTGCAGTGGCCGCTCCCGGCCACCGCAGCCTCAACCTGCTGGGCTCCGGTGATCCTTCCACCTCAGCCTTCCGAGTAGCCAGAATTACAGGCATGCACTACCACGCCCAGCTGATTTTTTTTTTTGATTTATTGTAGAGATGAGGTCTCGCTGCCCAGGCGGGTCTCGAACCCGCGGGCTCAGGCAATCCACTCACCTCAGCCTCCCAAAGGCGCGGGATTACAGGCTGAGCCACCGAGCCCGGCTCTTTATTTCTTTTATGTAACTATTTGTTTCACTTAAGCAAACAAGAACAATAGCTTTCTTCTTTAAAACATGGGACCATAATTATAAAAGAAGACAGGCATCAAAATTCCAATAATTTCTTGCCCTTGGATTAGAAATACCCTGGTCCCTTTTCTTTTTCTTTTTCTTTTTTTTTTGCATTGGAGTCTCACTCTGTCGCCCAGACTGGAGTGCAGTGGCTGCTCCCGGCCACCGCAGCCTCGACCTGCTGGGCTCTGGCGATCCTTCCGCCTCAGCCTTCCAAGTAGCTGGAACTACAGGCACGCACTACCATACCTGGCTAATTTTTGATTTTTTGTAGAGACTAGGTCTTGCCAAGTTTCCCGAACGGGTGTCAAACCCGTCGTTTCAGGCAATCCACTCGTCTCGGACTCCCAAAGCGCTGGGATTTCAGGCTGAGCCACTGAGCCTGGCCATTTTTCAAAATCAAAAGTAAGCACAATAAATGATGGGAATTTTCCTTATGGAATGTATTCTTGCATCTCTTATTGACTAGATGATCAGTCAGTGTACTTTAAACCTGAAGTTATTTTAGTATATTTGGCATATGTTCATAAATATTTTTGAAAAACTTGAAGTCATTTCCGATAACCTCTTTGTGAGGCTTGTGACAACTACTAAAAGAAGGGTAAAATGCTTTGAAATTACTGGATGAAAATGTTGCAGATAGTGATTTTGAGGATACAAAGCATTACTATTCTTTAAAATGTTTTTGAAGTTTAATTTGTATCCTGTGGTTTGATGCCATTTGAGTTCATTACAGAGAAGCAGAATGGAATTCTGGACCCGAAAAGATTTCAGAAAAGCAACACCAGTCAGGATTATTTAACTCTAAAGCTGAGCAAATACATCTTTCAAGCACTAGTCTTCTCTTTTTTCTCCCATTTCCTATTTTTCTAGTCAATTTAAGGGGTTTTTTTCTTCATTGTAGTATTTGTATAATCTGCAGTACCTAAAGGATAATTCAGACTAATGCTAGATTAATGTGTTGAGAGATCTTAAGGATTATGCCAAATTCTACATCTTTGTGTTTAAGAACTTGAATTGTATGGAAAGTACAAAGAATTACTGGGCTAAGCACCCAAGATTAACTTTGTGACCCAAGGTGTGTCTGTGGACCACTATTCAAATATTTTAATAGATGGTATTTGCTGCTTACTGAAAACATTTTGGTTTTTTTCTGGAAGAATGAATAAAGTTTACTTAAATAAGTTTAGGTACATAGTTGTGTTTAAAATTTCACAACACTTTTTTTTTTAAACTACTTTTTGGGTTTATCATAACTGTCAGTTCATTCTAGTTGTGTAAGAAATGTAAGAATGCAGGCCCAGAGAAGAAAAGAGAAATCCTTATTACAGAATTTGTTTTATGTAGTATAATGACCAGTTCACTCATTCTCTTCCTTTCCTCCCATCTTAGAAAATTTTTTCAATTCACATGTAGAAATTCTCAGTTATTAATGGATTATTTCCCAAAAGGTTGTGGGAGTATACACTAAATGCTTTTAATGATGTATGAGTTATTTTTTCATTTTATTTTATTTTTAATTAAGTACCTATAATGATAGTCTAATGGTTCCAATATTATATTGTTTTGATTTAAAATATCATGTTCTTTGGATTGTTCTAGTACTATTAAGCACTAAAAGGAACATTTTCATAAGAACATTTATTAATCTTCAGTCCCCTTAAATAATTATTTGTTGGAAAAAAGCTGAATGCTAAAACAAAATGAGACTCTAGATTAGCGTCTACCATAATGATGATGTATTAATTTTGTGACACTGAGTTACTCTGCTGAGAGAATCTTATGATGAATTAAGGTGCATATGCCAATGTTAAAAATGCTGTGTTTGCATTCGCAAATGAATTTTGCAGCTATTTTTTGACTAGTGAACATGGGCATTTTTATTTCATTCTTGGTATAGAAGGAAAGAAATCTTATTATAAAACCACCTGCTTACTCTGTGGATTATTATTTTGGAAGATTTTTTAAAAACTTCCTTTGGTAAATATTAAGTAAACAAGTACATACAACAAGGTTGAAAGTATGGGGGTGGTTTTAAAAATCAATGTAATTAACTTAAATAATTAGGTTAGTTAATGTTAGATTACTGTAGCATGCTCCTTCTTCCTTTTCTATTTCTACTTCTTATTAACTCTGCTGTCTGTGTCTTTCCAGTTCCTGTCGAGTGGTGTTATCAGTTGTGTTCTTGTTTGTAGTGTTTTTTGTTTTATTTCTACTATTCTGCACCTAAAACTGATCTACTAATTTGCTGTTTTGAACTCAGCCTTTGTCGGAATTATGGGTAACACAAGATCTTACAAACTGCTAGACTGGAATAGTTTCAATTCAGGTATTTTAATGGTCATTCAGTACTACATATGCTGACAAAAATTATGGCAGCTCAGTGAAGTTTTTAGAAGTTTTTAGTAGATTAAATAGGCTTAATGTCAATTCAGTTATACAGATATATTCTGTGATACATGTATAATAACTCTTGTAATTTCCATGGAAATGCAAATTTTAAAAAGTGTTAACTAAAATGAATTAATCAAAACTATAGAAATACCATAAATTATCGATGACTTAATCTAGGTAATTAACTTTCAGAATGATAATTTTAAATTATACTTACATTTTGAGTGGTTTTTGAAATCTCAGGTAAATGACTCAGGCATTAGCTTTGCAATTAAGTAAATATTAGTTAAATATAGTATGCAATGTTTGATAAATCATAAAATAAAGTATATTTAAACTGCATATTTAGATTTGAGCAGAATATATTAAATATTCTATAAAACAGCATAAAAGTATAATAGTTAGCAATTGTATATATAATTCTAAAAGTGTTCCAAAATTTGGTAACTGAGAACAGATTCTTTTGGGAGTTAACAACTTTTCTCTTTCTCAAAATTATGAGAATATAATTTTTTAAAGAAATTTTACATATGCATATGGTCTGTAGCTTTTAAATAAACCAAACCAAGATAGCGAACTTTACAGCTGATGATGTGGTTTAGAGTCAAAGCCAATTCATTTTTCTTTTTAATAAAAATGTATTTTCTTAGGACTATAAAGTTCTAAATTTTTATATGACTTTTTTTTACAAGTAAATAATAGAACCATTTTGATTTAGTGTCAGAAACTGGTATTTTGCCTAAAGTAATTTTACAGTTCTTTGTGTCAGAAAGTATACCTTACAGAAGAGCAAAAACACCAAGGGGCTCAGCATTTTAGATAATATCCCATAATCTTCTTAATATTGTAAATTTTGTTCGTTCTTAAGAGTTCAAGATGTAAGTTTTGATGTAAGTAATGCATGTTTGACTATGAAATAACTCAAGTTCATCTTGCAGATTTACCTAAATTCAATCTGATAAACAGTCTGATCAGGTTTAGCCTTTGTAGATGTTGACTGAATCAGTGGGTAAATCTTTAGGGAAATAACCTGTATTTCCTATCCAAGTTTTTGCCAGCGCATATGCATGTCATTGATTAGAATTAAAATGATCATTTTTTAGTTTCATTTTATAATTGATTTTTATTTTTTTATTTTGTTTTATTTATTTATTTATTTATTTATTTTTGAGTTGGAGTCTCACTCTGTCACCCAGACTGGAGTGTAGTGGCCGCTCCCGACCACCGCATCCTCCACCTGCTGGGCTCCGGCGATCCTCCCGCCTCAGCCTTCCAAGTAGGTGGAACTACAGGTGCGCGCCACCACGCCCGGCTAATTTTTGATTTATTGTAGAGATGAGGTCTCGCCAAGTTGCCTGGGCGGGTCTCAAATCCGCAGGCTCAGGCAGTCCACTCACCTCAGCCTCCCAAAGCACGGGATTACAGGCTGAGCCACTGAGCCGGGTTATAATTGATTTTTAATGAGAAATCTGAAAGTACCTGGCTAGCTTCATTTCTTAAAAGTAAGAATACATTTTTTCTTGAGCAGATTAGCATAGTGAGAAGGGAAAAAGGCAATGTAGAAAAAGGACATT